GGGGGGGGGGGGAAATAATAACTAATCCAGTTGTGTGATTTGTTACGGGTGAGGTGTGACATCGCGGGCGCTGGCGTGCAGACCTCCTCCCCTCGGGCTGCCTTCCCCCCGATCCCAGCCTCCTGCAAACACCTTGGCGGGATAACAGCGCGGTTCCGCTGGAAAAGCGTGAAAAGGAGAGGAAGTCGGCTGCACAGCGGCGAGGGTGTTTTATTTCCAGCCCCTGTGGCAGCTCGGGATTAAATGGATTTTCATTGTTCTTTCTCTACAGCAGTTTGGACACGAAGGCGGTGTAAACACGCCCGGGGTTTTATTTGCCGCCGCCCCCCCGTCGGCGAGGCTGGTATTCTCCCGCTGGCCGCCTGCTCTAAATATGGCCATGGCCAGTGTGTCAATAATCCCCCTCTTTAAGGGACCTGCAAACACTAGTGTTGGGACATTCTTGCTGTTCAGATGTCTAGCTGACGTCTGATGCTTAAAACGGAGCATGCTTTCATCCCTTCGTGCATTGTCGTAAGCCCCCGATGATTACTCTTAAAAGGGTGCCTCCGCTACACAGGGAAACAGTTGCTGACCAAACGAGACACAGCTTGGCTGCTTCAGCCTTCTTGAATGCCTAGTCACTTCAGGTTCCTACCAGCCTGACCAAGCGGGACCATGTCTACCTTTGGCTACAGAAGAGAGCTCAGTAAATATGAAGACATTGATGAAGATGAGCTCCTGGCTTCTCTCACCGAAGAGGAGCTGAAGGAGCTGGAGCGGGAGCTGGAGGACATAGAGCCTGACCGAAACCTTCCAGTGGGACAACGGCAGAAGAGCCTGACGGAGAAAACACCAACGGGGACTTTCAGCAGGGAAGCGCTGATGGCCTACTGGGAGAGGGAGACCAGGAAACTCTTAGAAAAAGAGAGATTGGGTGCATGCGACAAGGTAAGACGCTGAGGCAGTCGCTGCTTCCCAGAAATATTTGGGGTTGTTCTCCCCTGGTCTAATCTCACTGGCTGTTTTCATTTTCTTGCAGTCTCCTGTAGCATTTTTAAGAACGCTGTTAGCCATACTTTTGTTCCTGCTAAACCACTGTGTATTAGCTCAGTTTTTGCTCGCTCTGGAGTTACTTTAAATGCTCGGTCGAGAACAGAAGAAAGTCCTGTAAAAACTCACATTAGTGATTGAAATAAGATAAAATTTAAAGGGAACGTTAGAAATTATTACCAGGTAGTGACACGGACTTTTGGATGGCGTTAGATTTTGTTTAAAAGCTTAAAAAGGTGCCTTTTCCTTTCCTTCTCAAAAATCAGTCTGGATTGCTGAGAAGCATGTCAGGAGGATAATTTTGAGTGTGTGTCATGTCAGAAGGCAGGCTCTGTGCTCGCGGGGAGGAAGCTGGGCTGCAGGCAGCAGCTTGTGCTGCTTTGTTCTGCTGAGGATCCCTGGCACAGCGTGGGCGTCTTCTGGCAACTGTGGTCAGAGGGTAGCTGTAAGTTATTTTAAAAGTAGCCTGGGCTAGAGACGTCAGCCAAACCATTTACCTGTATTCCCCAGAAAATAACTGATAGTGCTTGTTAGGTAATTTGCCCCCCAAAATAAAAATATTCATAATAAAAGCTGGTCCCTGAACTGCAAACGAATGTTACAGCCGGGCAGGAGCGAAGGGCTCAGTCCTGGCAGGTGATGAGCACCCTCAGCCTAAGCTAAAATCCCTGCTGGCATCCCCCGGGCCCTTGCTAAAACAGTTTGTGAGACTGAGCTCTATCAAAAAGCAACTTCTGTTTTCATGTTGGCTCCGTGAAATTTTGAAGCAAAGTGGGGACTTGGGGATGTAACTTTTTTATTTTTAAGCACTGCTTCATACCAGGCTCTGACTCTGTTTATAAGGACACATTTTCCCATGTTTGAGTAGAAAATAATATAACAAAGGCAAAGACAGCAAAACTGGGAGTCAGAACTTCCAACAGCTTTGATTCAGGACTTGGTTCATTTGCAAGGGAATAATTGAAGTTTGTACATTAAATAAACTATTCTCCTAGAGAAAAATTACCTGGATTAAATTATCTTGCAATAATAATACTATCCAAGATTTCTTTGCACCTAAGTGTTTTCTCCTGCTCGTGAATGGTGCTCTAATGTCTTTGCAAGCAAGTGCACAGAGCACTAGCTGTCATCAAACCATTAATATCAGCTTGCAGACGTTGATTTCACTCCCTGTTTGTCAAGTCCTAGGGAGGCAATGGCAAGATTAATGTTTATTTCCAGCTGAGACTGGAACTCGAGACCTGGACAGTTCCAAAAACCTTCTGAACAAGACTGGTTCGGTGTCTTATATAATGAAAGGTGGTTTTTTTTTTTTTTTTAGTTTTCCATGTCTATACAGCATTAACAATAGATACTGGCTAAACCTGAAAGTGCTAGCAAAAACCTTTATACTTTTTGATCTGAGAAGAAAGTTCCTAAATACATCTATAAATATGAAAATGCCGACATGCTGATGTAGAGGGCACAAAGGCTCTCTCCACTGAAGGTACTAAGAAAGCTCCTTTGAGTTTCTTGAAAGAAATTTGCTTCTTGCCCTCAACTGTCTGAAAGTTAGACAGCTTATCTAAGATGGTTATTTGTGTTCCTTCTATAGTTAGTGGTGAGAGGTCAGCCCCTCCAGCAGGCAAACATCCTGCAGATAGCCTTTTAGGGTGAATGACTTGCCCTCCAGAGATATTTACCTCTCTGCACTCACTGTTTTAGTCCTAACTTTTCATGGTTTCTGTTACGAAGTAAGATGAAGCCCTGCAGGCTGCCTGTAGCAGCCCTGCACTGAAATGCTGCTCCAGTAACACAGCCTGTCTCTGTGGATCTGCAAAGCAAAGCATGCTTGATTTCAAAATTATCCTGCAAATGGTTATGACACCAAATGATGTATGTGACAGGAAACTAGATTTCCCTGTTGATCACAGAAATGCCACTCAAAAAAACCCCACCATGGTATTTTTTTTTTTTTATTAATCTAGTGTCATCAAGCATATTAGCAGTCCATTTAGAGGCACCAACTTCTGCTGATCTGCAGCTGTCTTGAAGGCTGTTGTATATATTCCTGGGTAGATAAAAGCATAGCCATGAGGATGGGTTCCTGGATACCTGGTGTTTTTCAGCTTTTAAAAGACTGCATATAAATATATATATATATAAAGCTACAGATATAAATCTTAGTCCCATAACAACCCTTAACACAGTCCTGTTTCTGTATGTAGCACAGCATCTCTCAGTGTAAGGGCCTTCCCGCGAACGATCCACAGGAGAAGCAATGGAGCTGGACCCTGCAAGTCCTCCAGGTGCTTGAGTGCTCAGCAACGATAGGCTGGAACACCTCAATGTCCTGTTTCGTTAGAGCCACGCTTCTGCAAACATTACAATTACCATTGGTTTTGTGTGTGTCCCAACACGGACACCTGCTTAAGATTGTGAAACAGTACCATGCAATCTCTCACTGCTATTATTTCAACCTTTCCCTGCATTTTTAGAGCCAGATAATTAAGCAAACCTAAAACTGCACAGGTTTTCTGAAAACAGGCTGTCATGTTAGTAACACTTTTGTTTTCCAGAAGCACGAAACAGAATCACTGTGTCTCCGCA